TGTTTTGCTTAGATCCACAGTTAACACTTATGGAAGCAAAAAATCAAATGATGTATTGCATGAGGTACTTCTGCCTCACAAGAACGCTTTAAAGTATTCAAGAACAAAGATGCCAGTTTGGGGACTAAAGTGTGACTGACCCAAGTCATGCTATTTTCAGTAGTTTCATGTTGATGGTATTGTGCTGTTGAGTCAGTTCCTTCTCCCACAGAGTGGCTGGTAGATTCAAACTGTTGACCTTGTATGTTGACTAATTTAGAGGAGACTCCAATGAGAAGCTTTTAGGAACAGTGTGCAGGTGGGCGTAGGGACGGTTGGGGGCACTAGGAAACTAAGCTCCTCCCTGAAACCTGGGGTGCTCCTGTCAGAGGGAGGGGGAAGGCAGATGACACACAGAACCTGTCATGCTTGCAGTGTTTGTTTTGCTGACTCAACAAATATGTACTGACCGTTCATCATACTAGCCCTGTTTCAGGTGTATTGAGGATTAAAAGGTTCTTGTTACATTGTCTTGGAAGAGCTTGAGAAAATGTGGCCTTTCCCCTTCATGGATACTCTCAAGTGGTTTAAAAGGTAGAAATTTATTAGGTGGTGAGTACGATTCTAGTACCTGCTCCGAGTGCCCTGTTGAGCCCGATACAGAAACTTGGAGTTCGGTGTTAGCCGTCAGACGTCTCCTCTCTCAGGAAGCACTGCAGTGGTAAATGTCTACACAGGGGACTGACAGACGGGGTACTGTCGTGTTTGGAGCTGTTAGAGTCGGGCTTTCTGAGAAACCTATGGAGGTGGGTCATCGGCTCATACTTTTTATATGGAGAGTAAGCTGATGGGTGGAATTCATTAAAATGGTATTTGACCTGTATTTAACTTCAGTTTTGGACAAATCTAATTTTAGACTTGATTATGTTGAAATCTAAACATGGTGTGTTTATGTTACAGATCTGAGATACCCAGAAATCTGTTTGGTTCATAGACTAGTACATGAGGAGAAGGCTAATGAATTTGTGGTTTCAATTATAGAAAGTGGAGTCCATTTTACCACATTTATGGAGTCTTGGTGTGACACTGTGGGTTAATGCGCCAGCCTGCAAAGCTGTTGGAATTGCGCCGTTGGTGGTTCAAGCTTATCAGCTGCTCCTCAGAAACCCTATACAGGGTTGCTGTGGGTCGGAACCGACTGAACAGCACTTAACAACAATCATGTATCTCTAAAATATTAGTCTTCACATAAATTGCTCTCAGTTTGAAAGTTTGTTTTCCAGTTCTAAAAGTAATAGGTATTCATTGCAGGGAATTTTTAAATATAGAAAAGTTTGAAGAAGAAAAACAATGTTCTTCATAGTTCTAGTCCCATTGTCCCCCCCCCCCCATGCACCGTTTTCCTTCCTCTCCTCTTATTTCTAATTTTAATAGATACAATGACTTTATTTTAAATAAAAAGCATTCATTAATTTATTTTCATTTAATGCCATAGCTTAATCATTTGTGTTTATTTTAAATGTCATCATTTTAATGGCGGGATTGTGTTGCATTATATAAAACAAAAGCACACCCTCTTCCTCTTTTAGGTATTATAAGTTGTGTGTGTGTGTGTATGTGTGCGTGTGCGCGTGCACACATGTGCCCTTTTTTATAGGTGGTAATGCTGAAGGAAAGGAGCTCTGGTAGCGTAGTGGGTACGAATCGGGCTGCTAATCTCAAAGTCAGCAGTACCAAGCTACCAGCTGTTCCATGCGAGAGATATGAGGCTTTCTGCTCCCGTAAAGATTTACAGCCTCGGAAACCCTATGCAGGGTCTCTATGAGTCAGAACCAACTCCACAGCACATAACAACAGCAACAACAAGGCTGAAGGAAGTGTTTCTCTGTGAAGTTTTTTTGGGGATTAATGCTGTAGGCTAAGGAGTCCTCGAGTGGCGCTGTAGAACAAAGCACTTGACGGTAAGGTCAGTTTGAACAGCAAGGTCTCTCTCAGATTCAAACTTTCCAGCCACTCCTTGGAAACGCTATATAGCATTACTAGGAGCTGGAACTTAACAACAACAATGACAACAGTAATGCTGTAGACTGTGTTAATCTAGGCAAAGATTGTTAATGAACAGTGACAGGTATGACAAAACTAACAGTGGAAGTATTTACTTGGTGCTGGGTATTAACTCATCTAACAAGTAGTGTTTAAATTCCACAAATGATCTTGTCTGGTTCTCGCCCATTTGTCACTCATCCATTTGACTTTAATATTTGCATAATATATATCCACCAAATTGCTTTTAGGTGCTATTGAATCAGTTCCGACTCACAGCGACCTTCTGCACAAAAGGACAGAAACTGCGTGATCCTGTGCCGTCCTCACAATGAGCCATATTAATTTTGCATACTGAGAGTATTTTGGATCCTCAGTACCTTTTTATTTTCTCTCTTGTACATTTTAGATATTTTAAAATGTGCCCATTTGCTCTTTGTCATTATTTCCTGCCCATCTATGAACAATGTCGTTGTCTAAACACCACTGAGGTGAAATAAGGTTTGTGGTACAAACAGAAATAGCATAGTACTTTTGATTTTTTACTTTCAAAACAAACTAGTGGACCCAAAGCTATTACATTTTATTTCACATTATATCCCATATTTTGTGATTGAATGTGCTTAATTTTCCTCTAACTATAAATTCATACTGTGTGTTTTTTTTAGTTTAAAAATACTATATAAGTATTTTTGTATTCTTGAAATTTATATAGTACATTTTCTATTTTGCATCTTGGTATTAATGAAATATTTTAGGTTATCTTTAAGGGGTTCCTTCATTTTAAAGGGCTTAAGAATTGAATGCTATGGTTCTGGGTAGAGATGGCGGTATGGGATTTTGAGCTGCCAGTTTTTAAGTAGTTTCTGTCTCCCGCACACATGATTTCCTCTCTACCACACTTAACACATGTGACCTTGTACCACAGCCTCTTTCTGTAGTGGTGGTGCTACGTGCCACTGAGTTCGTTCTGACTCATAGGAGGAGCCCTGGGTAAGGTTTCTAAGGCTGGAAATCTGTATTGGAGCAGAAAGCTTCATCTTTCTCCCACGGAGTGCTTGGTGGGCTCGAACTGCTGGTGGTTAGCAGTTCAGCTTGTACCCACTACTCCATCAGGCTACAGGTGAGGAAATGGCCTTGGGAAGAGCTGTAGTGGGGCCTGGAGGTGACTCTTGGTCTTTCTGGCACGGAACCCTTCACTGGTTTCTAGATGATTTGTAAATGAAAGCTACTTTAAAAAGCGAACTACAGAAATACTTAGCTTCCTACATCCCAGTGGCCGTTGTCTGAGGGTCCCAGTGAGAAGAGGAGGGAGTGATTCAGATTAGAAAGTATGAATAGGTGTCTCCTCCTGTGGTGGGGGAGAAAACTGGAGGGGCCTTGTGTTTCTCAACTACTGGGGTCTTCTTGATGTGTGAATTGATTCTGAAGAGAGCCCACTTAGCTCCACCTCCATATTTTTAGTCCCTGCCCTCCAATATAGTTGGGCAGAATATGTTCGTTTTCTTCAATATTTAAGTTCCGAAAAAAGTGAAACGGATTAATTTGGCATGAATACTATTTAAGAATTGAATTATGGTTTTCTTTTTTGTTTTTTTAAAAAGCCACCCACCAGAGAACCCGTTGTCATTGAGGCAGGTTGCTGTGAAAGTGGGTCCCATGGCACTTGCGTTATTACGCACTTGGAGCGCCAAGAGAACTCTTGGTCTTCTCCGCTCCCGTACAGACGTAGTTTCCGCACTGTTTGTATGCCAGTGCCCACATTGCATGGTTTTCCTCACATCCGCCCTGGGACTCTAAGGGATTATATATATTGGGAATCAGAAGAGTGGGAACGAAATCTGGACAGTACTATTTGTAAAGTTAATAGTATCCGACTCTGTGACGTGTTACAATAAAACGGATGCATTGGAAGTTTGTTAGAACCATTTTCTGTTGCCAGCTTTGAAAATTCACATCAGGAAACAAGATGCCTTTGGTTTTCAGACAGGAAAAGATAGCTGTGTGTTGTTGCACACAGCTCTTGTCTGAAAGTGGGCATCTGCACTGTTCCAGTTAGTCTCCTAGCTGGATACATGTCTGGAATTACTGCAAATTCTCAAACACATTTGAAGGTTTGTCACTGCTGAATTATCAGTTGCTGACGATCTCCCTCGCTGCCGATGAGCTTTCCTGGATCCACTCTTCCACGAAAGGCTACGGGAGCTTGGCTGGATAGGAGTCAAATGGATACATTTTCAAGCCAAGTATAGCCATCCATGATCCAGAGTGGGATTGAATTGAAAGCATTTTCAGTTTATTATTATTTTGGTTTTGGTCTTACTAGAAAACTGAATATGATTATGAGGGGGCTTCAGAAAGTTGGTGGGAACATGGAATTAAAAGATAATGGAATTTTTTCAAAAACGTTTTGAAGCCCCCCACACCCCCACACCCCCCATTAGAAAATATTTAGAGTGTGGTGCACCAGGCCCTGTTGGTGTATATTTCTTTGCATCTTGCTAGGTGACTGTATAGAAAAGGAATTAAGAGTCAAATGAAATATGAGGTAGCATCAGAAAACACAAACTTTTTGGTCTCCTGGCAGATAGGTATGTGCTTCTGTGGAACGTGATACTGATGATTACAGTCTGTGCCAAGTGTTTTTAAAGCCAAGTATTCCTGGGGAAAACACGTAATTTAGTGCCAAGAATTCCCTCCTATATCTAACTGGATTATACCAACACCTTTTTCCTCCTAGTTTCATTAGAATTGTATTTATTATAATATGTTTAGTAATGATTATTAATACGTAATAATTTTCAAGAGCAGCATTTTCAAACACTTACTGTCTATTTGGTTCTCAAAGAGAAATTATTTTACAAATGATATGATTTTGGTAAGCTGAACATGAAAATCTTGTCAAATAGATTTCTTAGAGTTTATTTTTAAAAAATGAGTGATCTGTTCTAAACTCTGTTCCCTCTGATTGCTTCTAGGTTACCTAGGGTATGAAATAATACAGACTTGGAAACTCTGAAAGAACTTAGAATCAGCAATTTGAGGTAAACATGCGTAAACTAAAGTAGTGCTTCGTTTGCCCGTTTGTTAACTTTTTTCGCAGAACAAATTTGTGTATGAAATGGGAAAGTTTAATTTTTACGTGAGTGGTTTATTTACTTATTTTTTTAAATGACTGGAAGTAGCTAAGCAATGTCCAGGTGGTTATGGGAAAATGGAGACTACATCTTGACATAAGTGCCAAATTACGTCACTTCTCAGTGCTAGACATCAAGAATCATGCTCCAGCCGAGTTGACTCACACTCTAAGCCATGGCAGCCACCTTGCTCTCACCTACCCCTCGGTGTTCATCACTGCCAGACTTCTGCCCTTAATGTCAGATAATGAGATGGATAAAGTGAGAAGTGATTATGTTCCCGATTTGTTCTTCCTGCACTTATGGCCGCAGTATAAAGTCGAGGCTTTACAGTAAATTAATGGGCATAAACTCAATCCAGTGTCAAATAGAAAGAAAAAAAATTCTTTGTTAAATTCAACTTTTCATCTCAGTACTTCCTTAGTTTGTGACTTATAATGAGTGCCACCCTGAACTTTAAAGTCCTCCCATTTATTGAACTGTGTTCCTGAATTCTCTTGCTCCTAAACTAAATAAACTCTGTAAAAGGTTTACTGTGTGGATTTAACTGTTCATAGAACTTGTGCTTTGAATTTCACTTTGAGAAACTGAAATCACTAGTGGTTATCATCCACATTTTAAAGCCTTCTTCCGAGGTGATTTGGATTTCTTAGCCAAAGTACTTCGGTGCCAAACTAAAGAATTATATATTTGAATTTAGGAAATCACATAATTTTTTCCCCATTTTTCTTTTAATCTATAAAGCCACTGCCTTTAGAATGTATGTACTTTGTGTGAGTTCCCTGTATTCTGTTTGAAGCCTTGCCCTGAATTTCCCCCTGGCCTTTTCTTATCCTTAGCTCCCTGGGAATTAGGCATGCTATTGTAGTCCACTCTCTTGTTCTTTGTTTTAGAAAAGGACACAGTAATAAACGAAAACAGCCCTGTGTCTTTGTTAAAATAGAATGTGGAATCATGGCCATTTAGTCATCCCTTCCTATCAACAGTGCTCCCTTGTAGTGTTTATTGGGCTGTAAGGACAGGCATCTCACACGTGGCTGTTTGTATGTTTCTCTGTAGAGCAGAAGCTTGGGTAAGCTGTGATTTCCCAGTCAGCTGCCGTCACAATGTCAACATGCCGTTCCGACAACAGCTACACAGAGGTCGCCAACATTAAAACGGTAAATCTACCATTTGCATCCTGTCGAAAGGGGAAGAACTTGAGTGTGTTTTATTGTCATTTCCAAGTGTGGAAAATATGGAAACGATGAGAGTACCTCACCAGTTTCGTGAGTGTAAATTGCTTGACCAGAAATGTAAAGTCTGTGCTTGCAGAACAGCCACGTGGTGTGGCTCTGTGGAAGCAGTTAGCCATCGGCAGCTCATCTGGGACACTGGAGGACTTGTGCCGACCAGCCGGGATTCCTGTCGTCTCACGAAGGCCAAGTTCAAAAATGTCTGTTTAAACGTACCAGAGAGAGTAAACATTGGCAGAATGATAGGTCTTGCTGTTTGCACATGATAGGGTTACCTGTGGATGTTTTTTTTTTCAGTCTTGGGTTTGCTTTCCCTCAGTAGACCATGTATTTCTGAGGTCAGCTGCTGTCTGTCTACTTGGGCGATGGAAATGCATTTCAGTATTCTGAGTGTATGTGAAATTCTCCTCCCTCTTCTAGTCCGAGGTCCTCTGTTCTGCACCCACCTGTCCCTAAAAGACTGTGGGGGCTGGGGCAGCTATGAGTCCAATGGATGTACTTTTTCAATTCAAATAGAAATACATACTTCAGTCACTCCGTAGGAGAAAGATGAAGCTTTCTGCTCCCACAATAATTGAAAAGCCTCGAAAACCCTATACAGGGTTGCTATGAGTCAGAACTGACTCAGTGGTACATAAAAGCAGCTACAACAACTTCTGTCTAATGTGTTAGCATGTTGGCAGCTACGAATGTCTGGTTGAGTTCCTAAAATACTTTTTAAAATGTATATATGTTAGCCAGTGCCAGGAAATTTAAGAGATGATCTTTTGGAACATGTGTTTCAGTGAAAACATAAGGTATGTGTGTATTTGTGCGTCCTTGTGAGTCTGTGCTGTTGTTATTAAGTGCCTTCAAGTTGATTCTGACTCATATTGATCCTGCATAGGGTTTCTGGGAGTGACTGGTAGGTTTGAACCACTGACCAGTCAGTTAGCAGTCCACAGCTTATCCTACAGCACCATACCAGGACCCCTGAATATGTGTTGTTGCTGGTAAAGTGCCTTTGAATGGGTTATGACTCTTAGTAACCTGGTGTAGGATTTCCCAGTCTGTGGGAGCAGAAAGGGGAGAGGCTGGTGGGCTCAAACCACAGACCTTGTGGTTCACAGTCCGGTGCTTATGGTTTGGAGCCACTATGCTCTCCTGAGTCTAAGTAATATGATGTAAATGATCAAAGTCAGATCGTAGCCGTCTCTCAGGTGGTCATTGTTTTGCTTCTTCAGTCCTGCGTGGATTACGCCCCCTGTCCTAGGAGCAGTTTGGCCCCAATCTAAATGGTACGCGCGTCTGCAGGCTTCAGACTCTCGGAGTTCCTGGTCTACCTGGTTGTACTTCAGTGAGAGGAGTGGCTGACTCATACAGGCAGTTCGTGTGCACGGCTGCTAACCACAAAGTGGGCGGTTGGAGTCTGCCCAGAACTGCTTTAGGAGGAAGGCTTGGAGGTCTGCTCCTGGAGAATCAGCCATTGGAAGCCCGGCAGAGCGGGTCTTCTCTGTGCACAGGACAGTGCCATGAGCCAGAATCGGCTTGATGGCCACTGCTTTCCAGATGACAAAGAAATGATCTGAGTCAGAAGTCTTTGTGACGGTTGTTGTTGTTAAGTGCTGTCAAGGTGGTTCTGACTCATAGCGACCCTGTCTAGGTTGTTTTCAAGGGGTGCTTGGTGGGTTGGAACCACCGACTGTACCGTGAGGTGAGCAGTCCAATGCTTCCCCTACAGTTCCACACCAGGACCCCTTCAGTGATAGCAGCACCGTGGGTTTGATGGATTTTGGACCACATACCCAAGGCGGCATCATAGTGAGAAGTTTGTGGAGCTCGTAGTTGTCAGCTCATAGAGGTGACTCTAACTTGGCAGAGAGGGTTGGTCGATGGTGGGGAGGCAAGGAGAAGGCTGAACTTTCTCAGCCAAAGAATGCAGTTGCTGAGGTCAGGCAGAGCGGGCAACAGGTGGAGGGTTCAGAATGCCATCTGGGATCAGATCGCACAGTGGATGTGGCTTGATTAATTTCATAGGTTCACGTCAAATGTCTTTTCTACGAATTCCCTTCTGTAAGTTGATTTTCTTAGATGTTGCCTTTTGGCGAAAACCAATATTATCCTTATCTTTTGGCAGTTATGAATTACATTTGTATTAATGACTTACTGTTTGCCAATTTTTTTTGCAATATAATATCTGTCTTCTTTGACTTGAGAGTCTACATTGCTGTTAAAGGCGCCATGGTAGTGCAGCAGGTTAAGCATTGGGCCGCTGTTGGTCAATATTCAAACCCACCAGTTGCTTGTTGGGAGACCGATGAGGCTGCGTGCCCCAGTACAGAGTTGCCGCAGTGTGAACTCTAGGGAGCAGCTCAGCTCTGCCCTATGTTGTCTCCTCCTGTTGGAATCGACTCAGTCGCGGTGGGTGGTGGTTGTTATATGCCATCCAGTAGGTTCAGAATGACCCTGAGTAGGGATTCTGAGGAGCAGCTGCTGGGTTTGAACTTATCCTATAGCACCACACTGTGTACCTTGCGTTTCACTGCCTCTTGATATTTTCTTCTCAAATCGATTCTTAGAAACTCCCATTCTCTCTGTTCTCCCAGGGGGATGAGGGGCGCTGGGAGCCGTGCCTTGCTTGCTAGGTTTGGGGGTGCCAGAGTCTGCAGCTCCTCTTTCCCCAGGCACTGGGCCTGCTGCTTAGCGGGAGTTAGCATTGTCACCCTTGGGTCTGCTTGCTGGAACTGGGCCAGCTGCCCATTTATTCTCAGGGACTGGCTGACGTGTTTTCAAACAAGATTTCTTTCCTGCCTTTGTGAATGGCATAGGGGCTTTTGTCTCTGGAACAAGCCTGTTAACCTTTGCAGTTCTCAAAAGGATTCGCTAGTAGCACATAAGGAAAATATCCTTAAGGACAGATCAGGGGAGAATTTCTAAGGTTCCAGGTCTCAGCAGCATACAGATGGGACTCCTCCCTGACTTCCTGAGGTGTGTGTGTGTGTGTTTGTGTGTGTGCTAGACTTTCTCCTTCCAACACTGTTTCCCCTCCCTCTCTGCCTCTCCTCCCCCCTCCTCCCTTCCCTTTCCCATCTGTCTTTTTCTAGTCTTCTTCCCCAGAGAGGGGAGTGAGAAGAGTACATAAAGCTGTCATTTGAATCAGAAACAAGAGCAGACTTATTGGTGTGGTAGAGACTGGTGTGGTGCTATAGGATAAGCACTGGACTACTAGCTGCAAGGTTGGCATTTCAAACCCAGCAGATGCTCCCTGGAAACCCCGTGCAGGGTTGCTGTGAGTCAGTATTATGAATGCGATCGGCATGGGGAGACTTGGTGGCAGTGGAGGTGAGGGCAGTTCCGGGTTTGCCCTGCTGTCTTCTTTTCTCCTTTGCCATTCCACCCACCACCGGGACAGTCGGATTCTTGGCACCAAGTCTGTTTTGGGTCTTGGGTTGGGTGAAAAATGAGGGCTCAGATTGGAGAATAAATAGTGCTAGCAAGTAAGCAGCTCACACCACCCAGGATGGTGGTCAGGCATGAAGTGCCCCCCAAATGCCTGTGCAGCTTAGATTTACCGGTACACTTGCCTGCTGGGTCTCAGGAAGTCAGATGTAAGAGACTTCTACATCCAGCTCTCGGCACTTATGTGGAGATAAAGCCCTGAATGGTGGGCAGCAGTGTACCTCAAGAGCCTGAGGACTATAGCCAAGGGCGTGCCAGGTGTGTGGTGAACAGAGAGGCTGCTGGGACTTTGGTCCAGCAGATAGTGGGCAGCTCATTCCTCGTGGAGCTCACAAGTCCGTTTCATCAGGAAAAAGTGTTGGCAGTTTTGCAGAATGCACTCCTATCCTTTGCTCCCGCCTTTCTCTGGGAAGATCATGAGGGTGACTGGGCTCTGGACTGCGAACCCCAAAGTCAGCGGTTTGAGCCTGCCAGCCACTCGGTGGGAGAAAGATGAGATTTTCTGCTCCTGCAAAGATGTACTGAGTCAGAACCGATTCAACAGCACTTAACAACAGCAACCAAGTCATCACTTATCAAAAAATGTTTGAAACACACACATGTAGTTGCATGGTTTATATGGATGTGCATGTATTTAAAAAGATACTAGACCTGTTCTATGGTAAAGGTTTGCGATGAATACTATTCTCTGTTAGTAAATAGAGCTCCGCGTTCTAATTTTAATGGAGTCAAGGGTCCCATTGTGTAACTCTTATCATTTTATTTAGCTCCTTCTTTATTGGTGGGTTTTAAAGTCGTTTCTGGTTTTGAAATAATACTGCAGCTACAGGTGTTCGTGTTCCTATATCTCTGTGCAATTGCCTGATTTTAAGTTTGTAAGTATACAATTGCTGGGCTCAAGGGTGAGGAAGGCTTGACTTTTAAACTGATCCTATAAGATGGAGAAACAGCAAAAACAATGAAAGGGAGCCCTGGAAACGGCTTGTAGGCATGAGATGCCAATGTTTCTCCTGTTTGTACACCTACTCTTGTTTCCTGCCCTGCATGGTTGTGAGATAGTCTTCTTTTCCCCTTTTGTAGTGAGCTGTGCTAGAACAGAATTGCAATGAAAGAAACACTGGACGAATGAAAAGCCTTGCTTTGCAACCCCTCAGCATGGCAGGTCTGCAGCTGATGACTCCTGCTTCCTCCCCAATGGGCCCTTTCTTTGGGCTGCCATGGCAACAAGAAGCAATCCATGATAACATTTACACGCCGAGAAAATATCAGGTACTAATGGTAACACTAATAATACTGGAGTGCTGTGTTTTGGGTGTGTGTTTTTTGTTTGTCCTAAACTGGAGTCAGTCAGCATATATAGTTGGCACCTCTCATGTAAAAGTCATTTACCCTTGTAGACCTCCCTCTTCTGATTCACTTCCTCATATAAAACACCGTGGTTCTTCATAGTCCTTTTCTAACATCTCCTGCCTGGGTAATTTATTTGGTCCTTTTATTTGTGACGTTCCTAACTTTTTTGCCTTCTGTGAAAACCTCTCTGTTTTCTTCCCATCCACATGGGTGTACCTGCCCGATTGGGCTGAGTGAGAACAGAGATTGGTTTGACAATCTCCAGCCACCTGGCAGTAAGTTTCTCCCTGCCATTCTCCAGAATGATCTTAACTCTACAAAAGTCAAAAATCTTCCATGAAGATCAGGGTCCTTAAGTGAAAGCCACTTCAACACAAATTTGCCCTGGCTTGGGCATTTTAACACCTCCAACTGATGATTCCTCTTTAAAGGTGCAGAGTGTGTTTGTTTGTAAATTAGCTAGAGGAAGATTTTAGAAAAGAGTGATGTGTCCTGTTTGGAAACAGTTCCCGTGTTCTAAATTGTGCACTTGGTTAAGACGTGTAATCTCTTCTCGCCCCGGATGTGTAGGTCGAGCTGCTGGAAGCAGCTTTGGATCACAATACCATCGTCTGTTTAAACACCGGCTCAGGGAAGATGTTTATTGCAGTACTACTCACGAAAGAGCTGTCCCACCAGATCAGAGAAGACTTCCCCCACAATGGGAAAAGGACAGTCTTCTTGGTCAACTCTGGTAATGAAAGTGTCTGATCCCACAGTGGGGAGGAGGCTGGGCCCGGTTTTCTGTGTGAGTCCGTCTTCTCTATGCATATTAAATGGAACCATTGAACGGAGAAGGAGTTTGGCAGAAACTATGCCCTGTGGGAGCTCAGAGAGAAATGCCAGTCTGCCTTGTCTCTTAGTAGCTGCTTCATTTCTCAGGCAGTACACTTGAGTTTAAGGAGCTCTGGTAGTGTAGCGGTTATGAGTCGGGCTGCTAATCTCACAGTCAGCAGTTCGAAACTACCAGTGGTTCCATGGGGGAAAGATGAGGTTTTCTGCTCCCGTAAAGATGAAAAGCCTTGGAAACCCTGTACAGGGTTGCTCTGAGTCAGAACCCACTCCATGGCCCCGGCACCACCACCGCTACCACCACGAACACACTTGAGTTTGTCTCAGATGTAAGGGCATGCCATTCTTTGTTGGCATTTCCTTGGCATGTACTAGTTTGAAGACTGAATCTAAATCTAAGCTGTTTCAGTGATTTGTGCTGCTGCTGTTTCAATCTCATGGAGTATGTGAGAAGGTGTCTGAGGACTCGCTAGGTAATGTTCTGATAAATGATTTTGCTCTACCACTTGTAGAAAGAAAGCTAACACGCTTCTTAAAAGTTAGACACAAAAACAGTTGTAAATACTGATTTTTGTGCATAGCTCTGGTAGCGTAGTGGTTACAAATCGGGCTGTGAACCTTAAGGTCAGCGGTTCGAAACTACCAGCCGCTCTGCGGGAGAAAGATGAGGCTTTCTACTCCCGTAAGGATTTATACCCTCGGAAACCCTGTACAGGGTCGCTATGGGTCGGAACCGACTCCACGGCACTTAACAACAACAACAACATACCTCAAAGCAGAAAGTGTAAAAACTGAAGGTAAATTGAGAGGAAAGAGCCCAGGTGGTTCACTGGTTAAAGCGTTTGGCTGCTAACCAAAATGCCTTCAGTTTGAACCCACCAGTCATTCCATGAGAGAAAGATGTGGCTGTCTCCTCCCGTAAAGATTTTTAGCTTCAGAAAGCCAATGGGGCGGTTCCCCTGTCTCCTATAGGGCTGTTGTGAGCGGGGAGCGCCTCAGTGCCAGTGGGTTTTAAGCTGACACGGTGCTAATACAACTGTCACTGCCGGCCTTTTTGAAGACAGTCTCAGCATAACTATGAGATGTTCTCTTACACTTTATAGTAAACAACATCATTGTTGTTGTCAAGTGCAATCGAGTCGGTTCTGACCCATAACGACCCTGTATAGGATTTCCAAGGAGCGGCTGGTGAGCTTCAACCGCCGACCTTGCAGATCAAACTGGCTTTGCAGTCTACATCACCACACCAGGACTCCAGATACGTCATTAGACTGTTTCATTTCTTGGTGAAATGATGGGACGTTAGTGACGAACACAGGAGGGGTGGTCTTGGAGTGGTTGGCATTCCTGCCAAGAAAGCCTCCATTTTGAGGTGGAAAGAAATGGCCTGTTGAGAAGGACAGGGGTCATAAGGTTTCTCTGAAGTGAGTATGTTTGGAAGATGATTTTCAATTGCCTTTTAAGAAATTGGTAGTGAGGTAGTGTGCTCAATAGTAGGGGTTTGTCTAACTGCCTTCATCATTGCTCATCCTGAGAGCCAGCTGCGTAAGATTTTGGCTGTTCACATGGCATGTTTGTTACATTTGTCACCAGCAAACCAGGCTGCTCAGCAAGTGTCAGCTGTCAGAACTCATTCAGATCTCAAGGTTGGGGAGTACTCAGACCTAGAAGTAATGGCTTCTTGGACAAGAGAGAAATGGAACCAAGAATTTGCTAAACACCAGGTAAGGCTTGTAGAGAAGTCTCACTCTATCAGCCCCTGCCACTCGGTGATTTGCTTTATTAAATGACCTTTAGTCTGGGATGTCTGAGGTAGGTTGAAAACTCTGCTTTCTCAGTTCAGCCTAGAGACCACAGACCCTGTCCTCTCTCTCTCTCTCTCTCTTACTGGCGGTCTCATCCTAAAGCCAGGGAGACGACTAATTTATTGTTGCTCACTCTTCGTAGAAAAGAAACAGCTTCCTGGTGTAATTTATTTGCTGGAGAAACACACATTTCTACCAGTTATTTCCAACTTGCAAATCACTTGCTTTCAGAAAATGTATTCTTGAATTCAGCATCTTGCAACTTGAGCCCCTCCTCAGCTGCAGTTTTGGGCTTCTGATGGCGAGTCCCTCTGAGTCACATCTCCATGGAGCCAGTGTGTGTTGAGGGCCGGAGCCTGTGTGGCTGCTGGTGAGGCTGCTTCCTAACCTTTCCACAGTTGACACACTCAACTAGTGGGGCTCACATACGGCGTTACGTCCTTATGACTCCAGCTTTTCAGTGTCCACAGAAAGAGCAGTGCCAATTGGTTTGTGATTTGACTGAATTGACAGATCTCTTCAGTCAAAAAATCTGTCTCTGGGAACCTAAAAACTGGAAGTAGATTGACCATAAAGACATGGTCCCTGGAATAAGGCGTTTGATCTGGCAGACTCTGTTTCCACCTTTCCCTCATTCTGCTTGCTGGCTCTAATCTATAGACTGAGAATTGGGGGCTCAGTTGAGACTAGTCAGTTTCTTAATTGCCACCTACAAAACAGTGGCTTGCTGATTTGATCTCAGATACAAATTTCTATGCAGGGGCCACATTTTATACTGATGTTGGTTTTCTTTTAGGTTCTGGTTATGACCTGCTATGTCGCCTTGAATGTTTTGAAAAGTGGTTACTTATCACTGTCCGATCTTAATCTTTTGGTGTTTGATGAGTGCCATCTTGCAATCCTAGACCACCCCTATCGAGAGATTATGAAGGTAAGCTTGAGGCCTTATTAGCCTTACTGATCCAAGGTTGAATTACAGAGTGCATACTGCAGTTTTGGTATCAAAAAGCAATTAACAGTTATCAGTTGTGAGGACTTTGTTGCAGTGTACCAGTGAATGAAGATTAAGTTAATGTTCAGTTAAATTTACAGTACAATTTTGCCCATCAAAGTATAAGTGAGCCTACTATATATAAGGCTGTTACAACCTGTCTAAGTGTGCCCTGCTGATAAGCAGACTCTTTAAATTTGCTGCAGTAAGGCCATAAGTCACAGGATGTCCTGGGTGCCTTGCGGTTTCCACTGAACAAATTACCTTTTGTATCTGTTTAGTGTTTTTATCGTGTTTTCATGTGGTGTCGTGTCAAATTCCGTTATGGCAAAACAGAAATCCTTACTGTCAGTATCTCTTCCCATGTTAGCTCTGTGAGAATTCTCCGTCATGCCCGCGCATTTTGGGACTGACTGCTTCCATTTTAAATGGGAAATGTGATCCAGAGGAATTGGAAGAAAAGATTCAGAAACTGGAGAAAATTCTTAAGAGCAATGCTGAAACAGCAACTGACTTGGTGGTCTTAGACAGGTATGTGCGGTATGTGCTGCCCATTGTCTCAGGGGAACGAGACATCTTGTACCAACTGTTACACATCCTTCCATGCCTTTTGCCGTACCTTACAGATAGTGTCTGTGTGAGGGAACACATGCTTGTGAACAGGCCTGAACGAGACCATGAATTCTCTGTGAGGACAGTCAAACTGCACGGGCAAGTGTCTGACCCTCCTCTTCTGGCTTCAGCAGACTGTGGACAAGCACAGCCCTTCCTCGTTCCCGTGCTCCCAAGGCCCAGGGGCCTTTGATTGCAGATTTGTGCTTTTGTCACTGGGTCTCTGCTGTAGTTTGCTGATCCAAAATGTGCTTTGTGGCACATGGAAAGCCCATTGATGTATGCAGAGAACCAGGATTTTACAGTCTACTTTAAAATAATTAGAAACACCCAGTTGTTTCAAAATTAGGTTGTGGATGCCTGATGCTCTTGGCTGTTTCCAGGTTTGTATCTTTTGAGAGTGTTGCTATTTTGAGGTTGATTAAAATACGCACGGGCCCAGGCACACAGAGCCTTACTGATGTGCTCAAGTGGGTAGAAGGGAGCCTGTTTAAATTAGTAGGGAAATGGATTCTTAAGTAAGTGTAACTGCATTCATTTACTCTGAAACCAGTCTCTTAGCCGTCCTAGTCAGAGTAGCTGTAATAAATACAGTTCCCAGGTCGGTGTGGAGGGTTGAATCAGCCATGCTTTGGCTTACTGGTTCTGTTGTTGTTAGCTGCCGCCAAGTCAGTTTTGACCCTGTGCACAGTAGAATGAGACACTGCCGGGCCCTATGCCAGCCTCACAGTTGTTATGTTTGGGCTCATTGCTGCTGCCATTGTGCCAGTCTGTCTCCTTGGGGGTCTTCTCTTTTTCTCTGACCCTCCACTTTACTAAGCATGATGTCCTGCACCAGGGACTGGTCCCTCCTGATATGCTATCCAAAGTATGTGAGATGAAGGTTCACTCTCCTTGCCTCTAAGGAGCATTCTGACTGCACTTCTCCCAAGACTCATTGGTTCATCCTTCGGGCAGTCCGTGGTATATTTCATTTTGCACCATCTTCAGATGCATCCATCAGTTCTTCTTCAGTCTTCCGTCCGTACTCATTGACCAACTTTCACATGCATCTGAAACAAGTGACATACCCTGGCTTGGGTCCTCAAAGTGACATCTTTGCTCTTGACCGCTCTAACGAGGTCTTCAGCAGCAGATTTGCCCAATGGCTGTACCAGTTATGAACTGAGTGCCTCCGATCGAGTCACTTACTGTCCCTAAGCCTGTGAAATGGCACTGACTATGGCTTCTGTGCGTCCTTGATGAACAGTCCCATTGGTTGCCTAGTATTTACTAAGAATTTGCACTGTTTGTAGAGTGAGAAGACAAGTAATGCTTTGATTTAGATGATTGTCTGACCTCCAGGGACACTCTTTTTCTGATTTCCTTGAGTCTGATGTAGAAGTCCAAGGCTTCCCTTTGGCTTATATCTGACCTAAAATAGCTTGCTGGACCTGCCCACCTTGAAGTCTTCCGGAGCAGCGGAGGAGCTGGGACGTGGACAGACGTACACTGCTGATGAGTCGTTTATTGTCTCTGTCATTTACCTAGGTCCCCACATGTGACTCTTGGTGCGGGATTACTCCTTTTGAATGTTGTTGGCCTGACAAACCTTCTGTTCAACAAAACTCTTGGGTCTTCCAGAGTTGAAAGATGACACAGAATTAGAATATTTAAAGATTTACAATCTTTAAAGTGAAATCTCTGTGAAACGTTTACTCATGTGATGAAAAAGAGAGAGCTGCTGAGCAGGAGAAATCAAGGACTTGTTGACAGGTAGCAGGGGCCGAGTCATGAACTAGGTCTTCTTCAGGCTCTGGTTTCCTCCGCGTCTTTCCTGCTCTGTGACTGCCTTGTCACCGCCAGAGTAGGACTGCCCAAGCGCCGGTCCTCCTCATACAACCCAGCTCCCCCGATTGCTTCATCTAGCCTGTAGCTCCTGACACTTCGGCTTACTGACAGCACTGTTGAGACAGTTACTTACTTGTGGGGCACACATGTGAGAACTTCAAGCTTGACACCATGTGAGAGGGACCAGAGTGAGGGGATTCTTCTCCTGGTTAGAAAAGTCAAGTAAAGACACAAAAAAAGAGAAAAATTGAAAATTAAAATTTCCATAATTTCTCTAGATAGAGCTATTCAGTGTTAGCATTTTAATGTACTTCTTAATAATTTTGTTTGCATATATGTGAAGTTATCACACAGTTCACGGAAGATACATATTATGAAAAAACTATGCATGGATTTCAAAAACCTTTTTGCACCAAAATAAACTCATGCTAATTTGTTGTAGCATATCTGAACAGGAGCTAGTTTGAGGCACCAGGAAAAGCAGACATCAGTTGGAAAAGAGTCCCTGTCAGAGCCACATGGATGCTCCTAACAGTTAAGAACAAACATCCAATCAATGGTGAAGCTTTGGTGGAAGATGGGTGAAATCATTAATGCTTTATGAAAAGTTTCTGGGGACAACACCCCAAAGAAATCAGTTTATAAATAGACAGCTTATTTTAAGAAAGGACGAGGCGATATTGACGATGAAACCTGCAGCTGCAGACCACCCACGCTAATTTGTAAGGTTAAGATGAATCCTGTTTGTGCTCTAATTGAAGAGGAATGACACTTGGCAGCAAAAACAATAGCCAATACTGTAGACAACTCAATTGGCTCAGCTTAAAGATTCTGACTGAAAAATGAAAGTTGAGCAGACTGTTGATGGGTACCCAGACTATTGCATCCAGGTCAGCTGCAGACAAGAGCAGAGGTTTCCATGGAAATTTTTAACAAGTGGGATCAAGATCCTGAAGCATTTCTTGGAAGAATTGCAGCAGGAGCTGGAACATGGTTTTATCAGTAGGATCCTGAAGACAAAGCACTATCAAAGCAGTGCCTGACAAGAGGTGGAAGTGGTCTGGTCAAAAGAAAAGCGGGCCAGTCAAGATCAAAGGTCATGGTAACAGTTTTTGGGAATGCCCAAGGCATTTGGTTTGTTGACTTTCTGGAGGGCCAGAGAACAATGTTGTTGTTGTCAGGTGCCATCAAGTCAGTTCCAACTCATAGTGACCAGCAGAACAGAGTAGTGCCTGATTCTGTGCCATCCTCAGATTGTTACTATGCTTGATCCCATTGTACCTGACACAGTGCAAATCCATCTCATTGGGGTCTCTTTTTCACTGACCCTATGCTTTACCTAGTATAATGTCCTTCTCCAGGTACTGGTCCCTCCTGGTAACATGTCCAAATTATGAGAGATGAAGCCTTTCCATCCCGGCTTCTAAGGAGCATTCTGCCTGTACTTCTCCCAAGACAGATTTGGTGGTTCTTCTGGCATTCCATGGTACTTTCAGTATTCTTCTCCAACACGATAACACAAATGCATGCATTCTTCTAAGGACAGTTCAAAAAAGAAACAGTGAAGCTTGTCGCCTTTCCCTCACTACACTGAATTCAATTTTATAGGGAACTGTTGACTCTCTGCACTGTGGAAGGCCTGGGTTATCTAAGGCTATCCTCCTCAATAGAACTTTCAAGGTCCTTGATGAGCTGGCTCACCATCCTCTTTCAGATTCTTCCACATACATATGAGCTGATTAACAATAATATGACTTGGGCTAGGCCCGAGGTAACAGCTTTGCTTTTGAATACTTTAAAGAGGTCTTTTGCAGCATATTTTCCCAATAAAACATGTTGTTTGAATTGGCTGCAGCTTCCATGGGTGTTGATTGTGGGTTCAAGTAAAATTAAGTCCTTGACAACTAACTTCATCCTTTTCTCTATGATGATGTTGCTTATTGGCCCAGTGATGAGGATTTTTTTCCCCCTTTATGTTGAGATATGATCCATACAGAAGATTGTAGTCTTCATCAGTAAGTGCGTCCAGTCTTTTTCCCTTTCAGCAAGTGTTGCTCTATATGGTCCGGTTTCTCGGATTATTGGGTCAGCATACAGTTTGAGTAAGTGTGGTGAAAGGATACAACCCTGACACACACCTTTCCTGATTTAAAACTATAGGATTCTTTTGTCCTGTTTAACAACTGCCTTTTGGTCTAGGTCCAGATTTTACATTGAGTACTGTTAGGTGTTCCGGAATTCCCATTCTTGGCAGTATTATCCATAGTTTGCTATGATCCATACAGTCAAGAGTCTTTGCCTAAGTCAATAAAGCATAAGTCAACATCTTTTTGGTATTCTCTGCTGTCATCCAAGTCCATCCCTGAAATTCCCTATCAGTGTACTATTTTTTCAGCAAAATTTTACTTGTGTGTGATATTAATTATATTGCTCAGTAATTTCCCCATTCTTTTGGGTCACCTCTGTTTGGAATGGGCACAAATCTGCATCTCTGCCATTTGTTTGTCCAGGTAGCTGCCTTCCAAGTTTCTTGGCCTAAACAAGTGAGCCCTTCCAGCATCACATCCATTAGTTGAAACATGTCAGTTGGTATTCCATCAATTCCTGGAGCCTTGACTTGCGTCAATGTATTCAGTGTAACTTGTACTTCTTCCTTCAGTACTATTGGTTCTTGGTCAGATACTGCTTCCTGACATGGTTGAAAGTCAACCAATTCTTTTTGTATCATTGACTCTGTAATCCTTCTACCTTTTTTTTAACCTCCTGTATCGTTCAATGTTTTGCCCATAGAATCCTTCAATAGTGAAATTTGGGGCTTGTATTTTTTCTTAAGTTCTTTCAGCTTGAGAAATGGTGAGTGTGTTCTTCCCTTTTGGTTTTCTGATTCCAGGTCTTTGCCTATTTCACTGTGCTAGTTTGTTTTTTCAAGCTGCCTTTTGCAATCTTTCATTCAGCTCTTTTACTTCATCATTTGCTTTAGTTAACTCTCTATTCAAGAGCCAAGTGCGTAGTAGATTACAAACTGGGCTGATAACTACAAGTTTAGAAGTTTGAATCTACCAGTTGCTCCTCAGGCGAAAGATGAGACTTTCTGCTCTGGGAAAGATTTACAGCCTCAGAAACCCTGTATAGGGTCGCTATGGGTCAGAACTGACTTGGTGGCACACAGCCACCACCAGCCACCACTGGAGGAAGTTTCAGAACATCTTCTTACATCTCCTTTGGGCTTTTCGTTCCAGTCTTTTTAAGTGACCTTTTGCTTTCTTCATGTATGATGTCCTTGATGTTACTCTTAGGTCTTCTGGCCATTAGTCATTGGTGTTCAGCGTGTCCAATCTGTTCTTGAGATGGTCCCTAAATTCATGTGGGATACTCAAAGCTGTACCTGGGGATCCTCGTGGACTTGTTTCAATCAGGGTTCCCAACCGGTTTCTTCAAGGTCGACCCTTCCTGAGAATTTGCATATCTACCCCAGGTACACAGAATGAGAATCTACATTTTTATAAGATCCCTAATGCTTCTTATGTATTCGTAAGGATTCTTATAATAATTCTGGGAATCTTGTGAAAATGTAGAATCGGATTCTAAGGGTTGAACCTGAATGAATGAGTTCAGTTTTCATTTTCTTCAGGTTCAACTTGAACTTACATATGAGTGATGGATGGTGTGCTCTGTGGCCAAGGCCCTGGCCTGGTCCTGACTGTTGCTACTGAACTTCTTCTCCATGGTCTCTTTCCAGTAATGTAGTCAGTCTGACTCTATGTATTCTCGCTGGCATTTAAGTGAAGTTTAAAATGTATCTGATGGGGTAAAAAAACAAACAAGCTGATTTTGTTCTTAGATTTTTATTCCATGGCACAGAAATGAGTGGTGAAAGAGAAGGAGTTTGCTGTTCTGAGTTGGAGAGGCCAGGACCACTGCACGTCTTTAAAGACAGGACACCGTTATTAGGAAGGCTCAGGACTGGACAGTGGTTCGCTTTGTGAGCCACGAGGGTCCGATGAATTGAAACCAATCTGATGGCGCCTAAGAGCACCAGCCATGAGTCAGATGTCAGTGGACATGTGCAGTCCTCAAGGAGGCTGCTGATGGGCAGTGAGGATGCAGGAGCTATGCCAAAACGGCAGTAGTGCCGGCAGGTACAAGATTCCCCCAGTGGGCCAAGTCAGGGGCTGGCCCAGGCCGGAACCGCCTCTCCCAGTCACCGGCCTCTCAGAAGAGGCTGCGGTGGGCTTGGTGGGGCCCAGGTGGAGAGTGAGATGGAACTGTTTTTACACACCCCAGGTGCTCTGAGCCAGGTGGAAACGATCAGTGAAAATGAGGACCTGAGAATCTCTTGCAGGTGCCAGTGGATGAGAAAACTAGAGGGGACTAGAAGGCATCCCGGTCTCTGCCACCGGCTCAGGTCGTGCACTGGAGCCCCAAGTGACAGCACATGGCCAGCCGAGGGAAGCATGAAGGCTCCTGGCCTGGCTTCCTGGGTGTGGGGCTTAGGAGCTTAGGAGAATTCTCCAGAGAGGGAGCCGGTGTCTGCACAGAAGTCCTAGGAAGAGGCCTTATCTCTGTGCAGCGGAGGTGCTGGAGAGACGGTGTGGACCCAGCATGTAGACTACAGTAGGGCTGTGCCCTGGTGGACCAAACACCTCATCTTGGCAGGAGCCCCGACAGGCCCCGGAGGGATCCCCTTGGTCTTCACAGGCTCCTCAGAAATCCAGAGCAGACATGTCCTGTGATTACAGCAGGTGCAGCCAGCTGCATCACCATGTGGGGTAATACTTCCAGGTCACAGGGAGGAAGGCAGTCCCGAGTGTGGGTGTGGACAGGATCCTGTTCTGCCCCGAGCCTTTGTTGTCCTTCCAGTGTGCAGGTGAAAGGAGAAGTGCCCGGTCGTGCTTGGAATGGGGCTGGTGGGGGCCCAGTTCTCCTCCCTCTTCCTCTCCTCGGTGCCCTGAAGTGCTAGCTGCTGGTTTACAAAGAGCGCTCTGTGTTTGCTGTGGGGAGAGTCGGTAACATGGGAATGGAAAGGACCCCTGTATCCCGCCATGTGCCAACATTCTGTCACGTTGCCTTCGGAGGGCTCCTTTGTAAATTTTATTTTAAACTTGTTTTCTGAAGGAAAGTTGAGAAAGCAGTTGTCTTCTCACTATTGCTAGCTACCTGACAGCTTTTGTTTCTGACCCCCAGATACGCATGTCAGCCCTGTGAGATTGTGGTGGACTGCGGGCCGTTCCATGACAGGAGCGGGCTGTATGAAAGACTGCTGCTGGAATTGGAGGAAGCACTTCATTTTGTCAATGACTGTAACATTTCTGTACATTCAAAAGAAAGAGACCCCACTTTCATTTCTAAACAGGTAAGCATATAGGAAGTGAGGCTAGTGAGTTTCAGAAAAGGTCTGGGGGGGTTTGAAGACTGACATGAAAATTGCTTTTGATGAGGCTCTTTGCTCCATGTAGTAGTTAAAGGGCCCCTGATCCTCCACCCTCTCCAGAAGGTATATACAATCTAGTGTTGAGTCACCAGGCAGGTGTGTGATTATCAAAATCAAACCCACTGCTGTCGAGTTGATCCCTTATTGGTGTTGTTCATTCCAACTCATAGCAACCTTATGCACAACAGAATGAAACCCTGCCCTGTCCTGCGCCATTCTCTCAGTTACTGCTGGACTTGAGTCCACTGCTGCTGCCATTGGTCCAATCCGCTTTACCCAGCAGGATGTCCTTCTCTAGGGACTGGTTCCTCCTGATAATAGTCCAAGTCTGGCCGTTCTGGCTTCTAAGGAGCATTCTGGCTGTACTTCTTCCAACAAACAAGAGTCGTTTGTTCTTCTGACAGTCCATGGTACTTTTAATATTCTCCTCCAACATCATAACTCAAATGAATTGATTCTTCTGTGGTCTTCCTTATTCATTGTCCAACTTTCACATGCATATGAGGTTATTGAAAATACCATGGTTTGGCTCCTCAAGCTGCATCTTTGCTTTTGTTTCGTTGATCCTGGCTCATACTAATCCTGTAGGGCCTAGTAGAACTGCACCATTGAATTTTTGAGGCCGTTAAGTCTTTAAGGCAGCTGATAGATAGCCTCATCGTTCTCCCTCAGAACAACTGGTGGATTTGAACTGTTGACCTTGCTGTTAATAGCCCAGCACTTAATTCACTGTACTACCAGGGCCCTTAGTAAATGTGGTGGTAGTTGGTTGTGCTGTGGAGTTGGTTCAGACTCTTAGTGACCTTGTATAGTGTGTCTGAGGCTGAAAATCTTTATGGGAGGAGAAAGCCTCATTTTTCTCTTGTAGAGCAGCTGATGGATGCAAACTGCTGACCTTGCGGTGAGTAACCGGATTCGTAGCCCACTATGTCACCTGGTGTGATGCTGTGGACTACTGCGCAGGACTGCAAAGTTGGTTTGAACCGCAAGGTCAGCAGTTGAAGTTCACCAGCTGCTCCTCAGAAACCCTATACAGGGTCGCTATGAATGAGACCCGACTCGGTGGCACTTAACACCAACATGCCATCAGAGCTCCTTCATTACGTGTCTTCCTCCTTGATGAGGTTGATGAATTGGGAGTCATGCCGTGGTATTTCCATCTAAGGAGTAGGCCCAGGTGAGTGAGTTCAAACCTGGAGACGATAATGAGCCCTCTTGCTGTTTCTTGCTGTCTTGCCCAGTGTCTGCAACTAAACCCCCCGTGAGTGGTACCAGCTTTGAGAAGAGGGCCCCCACCTGTGGGCCCCCAGCTAAAGGCACCAGCATATCTTGGGAGCTTGTTAGAAATACTAATAACCACTCCAGCTATGCCCAGCTGCAGACCTGGTGCTTCCTACCAGCAGGCTACATACAGTCTTCGAGTCCTGGTGTGGCGCTGTAGGATACCCGCTGGATTGCTAACCTCACGGCCAGTGTTTCAAACCCATCAGCTGCTCCTCGGAAGCCCTCTATGTGGTTGCTATGAGTCTGAACCGACTCGATGGCACTTCACCACCACCTGGGAGTGTGGCCTGCGTGGCAGGTTGTGGGCGTTCTGTTGGGCCGAGCCTGCGCCTTGGTATTTCTCCTGGGACTTGTCATGGAGCAGCAATGTGCACCCTGTTCTCAGCTCAGGCCAACTGGGCCAGCACTTTGAATCTACCAGCCTTTCCGTGGGAGGAAAGATCGACAACCTCAGGTTGTTGTGAGTCAGAAACAGCTGGACAGCACATAGCCACCAACCGACCGTATAATTCCTTGTATATTTTGCCAGGAAATAAATGACCGAGTTTAGTTCTAAGTAGTCACAGCTCTAAAGTTAAATTTTATTAACCTTGTGTGATTGCATCTTTAAATTTCTGTATTATCTTATCCAGGGTGGTGTGGGTCTGGAAATGTGAGTGTGTGTATGTGTTTGTGTAAGTTCAACAAACTAACCGGTTGCCTTCGAGTCACTTGCGGATACGTTATCTATGTCATCGTAGAGCTGTACTCCTTACGGTTTTCAGGGGCTGACTTTTCTAGAAGTAGATTGGCAGACCTTTCTTCTTAGGTACCTCTGGGTTGGCTCATTACCTCCAATCTCTTGATGAGCAGTCGAGTGTATTAACTGTTGGAATTAACCAGGGTTCATCTGTCTATCTATTTAGCTATATACAGTGGGGCTTCCAAAAATTCATAGGAAAAATGGAATGAACATCCCACACACTTTCTGAAGGCCCTTTATATGTAAAACCAAACATACAGCAGAGCCTGCTGCCATCAAGCCGACTAGAACTCACAGTGACCCTGTGGGACAGTAGAACCGTTACATGAGGTTTCCAAGTCTGCAGTCTCTCTGCAATGCCACATATTTCTCCTGCAGAGCAGCTGGTGGCTTCAAACCACCCACCTTTGATTTCACAGCCAGGTGCTTAACCACTGCGCCACCAGGGCTCCTTTTTCTTCGTATATTTGCAGTTCTGGTGTGGCGCTGTGGGTTAATGTGCCAGACTGCAGAACTGTTTGAACTGCATGCTTGGTGGTTCCAGCTCACCAGCTGCTCCTCAGGACCCCTATACAGGGTTGCGATGGGTCAGAATCGACTCAATGGCATTGGACAACAACAGCATGATGGCTGGAACTTTGGGTGCTTTGGCAGGGCCAGATCCATTGATTTCTTGGGCTTTATAGGTCCGTGGGCTGGACGGTCGCCACACCTGCTGTACATGGTCGCTATGGGTCAGAACTAATTCGACAGCACTTAACAACAACATTAGTATGGAGATCATTCACCCTTTCCCCCACCCTATTAGTGGGGTATGTTCATTTTAAAGGGGCCATTTGAGGAAAAGTTCAAGTTGAAACCCCATCTGAACCTGCTCCCTGATGATTGCTCAGCTTATGACTTGATGCGGTGTGTGTTTTGTAGATACTGACAGACTGCCGTGCGGTCTTGGTCGTCCTGGGCCCCTGGTGTGCAGACAAAGTTGCTGGGATAATGGTCAGGGAACTGCAGAAACACATCAAGCATGAGCAAGAGGGGCTGCACAGGAAATTCCTACTGTTCACAGACACGTTCCTAAGGAAAATCCACGCCCTGTGTGAAGAGCACTTCTCTCCTGCCTCCCTTGACCTGAGATTCGTAACCCCCAAAGTCATCAAACTGCTGGAGATCCTGCGCAAATACAAGCCTTACGAGCGGCAGCAGTTTGAAAGCGTTGAGTGGTATAATAATAGGAACCAGGATAATTACGTGTCCTGGAGTGATTCTGAGGATGACGATGAGGATGAAGAAATTGAAGAAAAAGAGAAGCCAGAGACAAATTTTCCTTCTCCGTTTACCAATATTTTATGTGGAATTATTTTTGTGGAGAGAAGATACACAGCGGTTATCTTAAACAGGTACAATGTTAGGATTACCTTTTTTTCTGTTTTTTGTTTTTTGGGTTTTTTTGGTCCTATAGCAGAACAAGGAAGCTTGGTTTCTCAAAGTGACAGAAGTGCCCTTTACTGTCCCATCACAGCCCAGGTAATGCTGTAGTACCACTGACAGAAAATACTTCTGTTCGTATAGACTTTGCCAGAAGGCCAGGTTGGATGGCTGTGACAGCCTTGCTTCTTACAGGATGCTAACCCATCGAATCCATCTAACTAGCCAGGAATGAACCAAATAGTGTACATCAAACCAGTCTTTGTTTTTAATTCAGTGCAGTTGAATTTGAGTCAGGTACTTACGTATCTTTGACTGTGGTATGCTGAGCATTTCAGCCCATGCTTTCTCTTGTTGATAATCTTAGGGTACATTTTATCTGGCTGTGGGTGCTGTAAGATAAGCACTGGACTACTAACCACAATGTCAGTGGTTCAAACCCACCAACCACTCTTTGGAAACCCTGTAGAGAGTCACTATGAGTCAGAAGTAACTTGTTGGCACACAACAACAACAGCAACAGGGATGTGACTAATTTATGTTAACTGTGTTTCCTTAAAAGAATATTGATTCAGGTTTGCATGCCTGCAGTAGGAAGACTTTCGAACAACGGGATTGTGTAGGGTTCATTTGCTGTTGTTGGAGTTAAGTGCCATCGAGTCCGTTCTGACTCATAGTGACCCTTTATAGGGTTTCCATGGCTTGAGGTCTTCCAGGGAGCAGAAAGCATCGACTGTCTGTTAAAATGGTCGGGCTTAGACGAATAGAATGTCAGGGAAGGGGGCTGAGAATATTAGCAAAGGGAATGGTGGATCTATGTTGTTAGGTTGTGGGTTCCAGCTCCCTACCCACATCTTTGATACAAATTGATTTTTCCTGGATGTAGACCCAGCCAAGGAGCGGCACTTCAAATTTGTGTCAGATGGTCACTTAATGTATGGTTCTTTCAGTTTGTGGGTAGATACTCTCTTATTTCTGCCAAAAAGTGTCTTTATTTGGTACTTAAGACAGTCTACTTTTCTGTGAGATCTATTAATTGGCCCACGTTGATCCCTAAGAGCCTTTTCTGCAAGTAGTGATCTCTGAGGAAAAATTAAGCTTTGTTTCCTGTGGTAATTGGGATTTTTTCCGCCCCCCTCCTTAACTGCTGCTGAATGTTTAGAGGTTTTACAAACTTTTCGGAGTAAGGAGAAATTGGACTCTAGGGTGGTCATCTGGCAGTTTTCAGTCTGGTAATTTTCATAGTCATTGGGCCTGATCTTTCTGATGAATATAAAGTAAAAGAACTTTAGGTAGTGAATTACATTCAGATCCAAAGTTTAAAGTTGGGAAGGAACCTCACTGACTCACTAATTCAACCCACTTGTTTTTACAAAAAGAAAAAAGAAAAGTAAGGCTCACAGGAGGAAAGGCGGTTTTCTCTAAGTTAAATTGCTTGTCAGTGGCAGCGTTGGTTCTAAAATCCTGAGATCCTAACTGCCGAGTTTTCTCTTCAGCCATAATGCCCCTGGGGGGTCAGAGCACTAGAAACTCATGATTTGCTGGAGGAAGCCAGCCAGGAGACGGGTTGGGTTGTTGGGGCCACATTCCTTCTTATCAAATGGGGAGGGGGGGTCAGAAAAGTTTAGCCTTGTTTTAAAAGACCCCCCCCCCCCCACTCCTCACCGGAGGGTTGATTGATTTGATTTCTGGGGCTGGAAGAGTAGAAAAAGGGGGTCTCTGTTCTTTCTGGTTCTCACACGTGCTGTTTTTTGGACAGATGTACCGGTTTTCATTGCAGGAACGTTAACCTGAAAAGGTTTATCCGTAATCAGGCAGTTACTTTGAGGATCAGATGAACTGTGATCAGCGTTCATAAAACGTGGCTGGAATTTCGTGCTGTCTGCTGACTGGAACGCGGTCTGCCGGCTGACTTTATAGGCAGCTAATTAAATGTACAATAGAGGGCTTGTTCCAGTAAGCTTTTTAATAAGCTTAGAAAAACTTCCTGAAGTCCAGATTCTTTCCTTCCATCAGTTTCATGGGAGGAAAACCCCTTCTTCAGTGGGGGTCTCCCGGGGACATGACGTTATTATAATCCGCGTGCAGGTTTCTCTAGATAATTAAAAGGCCAGCACCGATATGGGTGCGTGGAGGTGTCGGTGTGGCCTCACGCTCGTGGCCTTGTAATGTTCATGGAGGACCTCTGCTTTATAACTTATTTGTTGTGTAGTTTGTGTTATAATATAACCTTCCTATATTTTCTTTTAGTTTGTACAACACTCCATAAGGGGGCCGGGCGATGGTCTTGCCACATTACAGAGGAGGAAGCCAAGGCTGAGACTTTGGCCCTCCCAGCAGCACACAGTTGACAAGTGGTAGAAAACGGCAGTCAGTCTGCATTCTCTGCCTCCCTGCCCCATGGTTATTATGGAATGGTTTTGCATTTACAAGAAAATAGCAGTGTTCCAACCTGTCCTTCGCCCGGGGCCGCCTGCCCACCATCTTTAGCATCTTGCTTTCCAGAACTTACGGGCCATGGTATAGTCGCCATGCCTTAACTAAGCTCCAGATGTGATTTGGGCTTCCCCAGTTCCTTTACTGTCCTCTTGTCAGTCCGAGGCATCATGTGGAGTTGTCCTGGCTCCTCAAGTCCCCTCAGGTCTCTTCTGGTTGCTCAGTTCTCTGCCCTTGTTTGCTGTGCCCCTGACTGTCACATAATGTTGTAGAAGGGCCTTCAGTTTAATTGTGCTCATGTTGTCCTCAGAATTAGGCTTGGGTGACAGGGGCAAAGTGCCCTTCTGACTGGTAATGCAGTGGCTAAATGCTTGGCTACTGACTGAAAAGGTCAGTGGTCCTAAGTGCCCCCAGCCTGTCCACAGGAGAGAGACATGGCAGTCTGCTGCCCTTAGACCACAGTCTCAGAAACCCTATGAGTCAGGATCCACTGGACAGCAACAGCTTAGTTCATAGTATCAACCCGACTTACCCCATGACTTGTATCATGTGGTTAAGGTAGCGTTTACTGGGATTCTGCTCTGGAGAGTTGCTCTTTCTCCCTCCGTACTCTGTTATGTAGAAGCAAGTCACTAAGTCTAGCTCACCTTGGGAAGGTGGAGAGAGGCTCGGATTCACTCCTAATTGCCTAGATTATTGGGGTCATGCTGTGGCACTGTAGGATGAACACTGGACTGCTAACTGTAAGGTCAGCAGTTCAAGCCCACCAGTCCTTCTTGAAAACCCTGTACAGGGTCCCTATGAGTTGGACTTGACTCAATGGCACTTACCAACAACACCAACTTGGGTTATTTGGAATTCTTCTGTATGGAAAACTTGTCTCTTTTACTGACTTAGCTATGTATATGTTTTTGTTGAATCCTATATTTTCATCCATATGGACTCATGTGTAGATGTCTTACATTCAGGCTTGTAATTCACTGTGTTTTTGTTGTGCTAGTTGTTACTCCTTTGGCCATTGGAGACCCTCTGGGAGACCAGCTTCTGTGTCCCTGTGACTTAGTCTCTGCCTTGGAGTCTTGGGGCACTTTCTCACTTGGCGGTCTCTAAGACATTCAGGCTCTTCCTGTTCCAACTCAGAGCCAGCTGTTTCTCCAGGGAGCCCTAGGCCCCTTGGTTTCTACCCATTTCTCAGATGGGTCTTTGTGAAAGTGATTTACTGTTTTTTGAAGCTTCAACTTTTTCATTTGTAAATAGTAATAACACTGCTGGGTCTCACTGGGTTCTGACTAAGAGTCAAGTGACAGCGCCTGTAAAACTAGCTGTTTACCACCTGACACACACCCTCCAAACCCCAAACCAAACCTACTTGCCACCAAGTTGACTCCTACTCATTACAGGATAGTACAACCTTTTTCTCTCAGGGAGCAGCTGGTGGGTTTGAACTGCTGACTTTGCAGGTAGCATTCTAGTTCTCAATGCTGCAGTACCACCAGGGCTGATTTATCCTACATGTCCACGTTTAGGGGCATGTACGGTTTGTTTTTTGTATGGTCAGAGAGGAATTACGTTTGATGTTCTCACATTGATTAGAAAATATAGGAAGTAAGGGATGTTGTTGTTAATGTACCGTGGAGTCGCTTCCAACTCATAGCGACCCTGTACAGGGTTTCCAAGGCTGTACAGTGTTAATAACATACTTATAGGACTTGGTAGAGATTCGATTCCCAGTGTTGATGTGTACGGATCCTCAGTTCCCCCTGTTCATCTCCACCCTCCACCCCATGGTTGTCTGTAGGACTCCTGGTGTGGTGCTGTGGGATAAGCACTGGGCTGCTAACCACACGGTCAGCTGATCCTTGGAAAGTCTATATACAAGGTCGCTATGAGTCGGAACCAACTTGACAACACTTAACAACAACTACATTGTATGTGTTAATTAGAACATGTTTAGTCAAATCATAGTTTTTGATAATGCATTTAATACTTTTCAGAATCTACCATAGATTTCCTACTTTTGTTCTTGCTATTTCCAGTCTAACTGGGTGGTGATAGGTGTGCAGGCACAAACATCAGTGCAGTGGTCTGCCAACGGTGCCAGTGACCTTAGCCCCACGCAGTTTCATAGGGTGATGGAGAGGGAGGGAGCGGGTGGAAAGTTTTATAGCAGCCTCATAGTACTTGGCTGTCTGTTGGGGATAATAAAAACTGGCACTTGAGTTTTAATGTTTTGAAAATTTTGTTTTAAGTAGTAAACCCCAAACCCAGTCTACTGCCATCGAGTCGATTCCGACTCAGAGCAAAGTAGTGGTGGGAGTAATTTAAGAAGAATCTCAGCTCCGTGGCAGTTTATGAAGCTGGTTGTTGGATGGATTGAGAATTTCAAACAAAAAGCCGTTCTACACTGTACAGCTTACGGAGCCCCGTGAGCAGGAAAAAAAGGTCACTTACCCAACTGCTTACTTGGGGTGGGGGCAGCGTGTGGAAACTCGGTGTGAAAACCAGAAGATGCCAACCCAATCTGTGGGACTTGGGTGGGTGCCGTTCATGGTGTTCATGTGTAAGACCCCTCAGAACAGTAAGTACTTGCTTTGTCTCCCCTGAGTGTTGTCTTGGGCACATAGGCACCCCTTAAATTCATCCAGTAGGGGAGTTGTTTTTCTGTCTGCACTGTATTTGCCGGCATGGGCATGTCGCCTTTGATCGCTCATGGATGATTTTGTTTATTAATGTACATTCAACACAGGGGCAGCGAGGGTTCACTCAGGAGGAATACATTTCCTCTTCCTCCTTCCATTTCTAGTGAAGGGGACTCTGGCCGATGAGACCACAGCCTTCACCTGACTAGCAGTCACTGGAAGTGCACTATTGTCTTGTTTGAACCTCTGTCGCATTCACATGGTGCTTACGTATGCTAAAACGTGGGCCTGCACGTCCTGAGACAATTTCTCTCCTGTGGACTTTGGGCCGTGCTCTATGTGCCGTGCGCATGTGAGACAGCTCTCTTTGACCGACCTGTCAAGCGCATTCTCATCATGGTAAAAACGCTGGGGCGTATTGAAGACACCTCTGACTCTAGACGGAGGGTGCTCCGGGTGTGCATACATGGTGCTGACTGGGCGTCAGACACATATTCTAGGTGGTCACCCACGGTTTCGTCCCCCTGTTTGCTGTCAGTCTGTTTGGTGTGAAAGTAGCAAAAGGACGGTGTGGCTTCAGCAGACACTTTCCTACAGGGAATTGCTCTGATGGCTCAGGGCTTCAGAAGAGTCATGCAGAATCACTTAGGTCAGGTGTGGAGCTCTTTAGCCTCCGTGCTGAGGGTTTCAGTGTGAGTATTTCCAAACTAGCTGTAATGGCAATGCCGCCTGTTCACCTCCTGGACCTGTGTCATGGGATCCCAGCTCCAAGGCCAGGAGAGGGACCAGCGGAGCAGCTAGCGTCCTCTGTCCACTGTGTTCTGTGCTCGATTCAGCACAGCTTCAGGGAACGCAGGCAGGAGGCGGGAGGGTGTTGGGAGTTGAGAGTCTTATCAATAGGCAGCTACTTCTTCCCCAAGATCTCTGCTTCCCTGATAGCCAGTGTTGGGGCAAGAGGAAAAGAAATAGACTTACTTTTGTTCACCCACAGCTGGAGTGCTGTGGCTCTCCAGCCAGGAGGGGAGTGAGTTTCCTCTGCCCTAGATGTTCTCCCCTGACTGTCGGTGCCGGTGCTGGTTCTGGGTCTCTGTCACCTGGCCCACTAGAAGAGGATGCAGCTGCATCTTCTCCCTGCACCTGTGTGGGGATGCGCACTGAATGCTGTGCTGACACACTCTTCCCCTGTAGAGTTCTGTCCGGAAGCCATGGGGACCTCTGCTTCTCTCTGCCTGGCTCCGCCCATGTGGCCACATTTCTAAGAAGTCATCATTGCCACTTAGAAAGTTTGGGGTGATGTGGCCATGTCATCGCCAGCATAAATCAATCTCTTTTTGATATTTTAGATATTTGGTTGACGGATCCATGGGGTTAAAGAGTATCAGGGATGTGAGCTTAACCTGGTAGGGGGAGAAAAGGCGAAAACAAGCCAAAAACATTTTGTTAACATACGTTGGCTAAAGATACATCAATTTCCATCATAAAGCGGAGGTTACAAAGAAAAGTTTAAACATTTTTTTCCCTTGACAATGTTTAACTTCCAAACGTGTGTAATGTTCTTAGATTGATAAAGGAAGCTGGCAAGCAGGATCCAGAGCTGGCTTACATCAGCAGCAATTTCATAACGGGACACGGCATTGGGAAGAACCAGCCTCGTAACAAGCAGATGGAAGCAGAATTCAGAAAACAGGAAGAGGTAACTTGAAGTGAAATCTTCCCGACATTCACAGACTGCCCACTGGAGCCCCTGTGGCCATAGTGCCCAACATTTGTTGACCACACAGATGACGTGCTCACATAGAGAGTGGTTGCCTTCTCTGGGAACCATGCGGACTAACTAGCCGATGGGATAATGGCACCGAGAGAGCCTTCCACCTGGACGACACGCAACAAACTGAAATCGGTGCCTAGAAAGTGGTGGTGTGTGCGTGTGCTTATACTTGAAGCCTGGCCTACATTGGTTTTAAGACTTTAAAGATAATACTGACTTTTGTAGATTTTGCCTTCCTTTTTTTTTTTTCATGCTTCTTTAGGTCTTAAAATAGGGAACGGAGCCTGGTGTGGCGCTACATGTTAAGGTCCTGGACTGCAAGGTTGGTTTGAACCACATGGTTGGCAGTTCAAGCTCACCAGTTCCTCCTTGGAAACAGGGTTGCTTGAGTCAGAACCGACTCGCCAGCAGTTAACAGGAGCAACAATATAGGGAGCAGCCTTGGAAAGGCGTGAAAACTGAATATCACAATCACAAAACTTTAATTCCGAGTGTGCCACGAGCAGAATCTTTCCTGGGGGAATCACGTTCCAAGTCTTAACCGTTTTCCAAGTTTGAGGAGCCCACTGGTCAGAGACAGACAGAGCTGATGTTCTAGAAACTGGCTCAGTTCATTCTGTAACGTATCCTGGCTTGGGAAATCATGTCTGTTTTCGTAAATACAGTATGAAAAGAGTTCTCACTTCATGTGTAAACCATAGTGCTGACTCTTTAAATCCCCCAAGCTATGTCTTTTTAATTCTGATTGGTTTACAAATGTCCATGGAAGGTTTGTGGCATTGTTCACAGATATAAACTGCTCCCGGGAGGCTCTGACTCTCCACGGATCACAGATGGGGATTCTCTGGGTCGCTTCCTTGGTTGGGTCCACTTACGGTCACGAAAGGTGCTCTGTGATTTGTACACAGAGGCACAGTGGTCAGAAGCACTCGGGTGCCAACCAAGACGTTGGCAGTTTGAACCCACCACCCTTACTCCTTAAGGAGCTCTGGTAGTGTAGTGGTTACGAATTGGGCTGCGAACTTCAGGGTCAGCAGTTTGGAACTGCCAGCGGTTCCGCAGGAGAAAGATGAGGCTTTGTGCTCCCATAAAGATTTACAGCCTCAGAAACCTTGGGCAGGGTCGCTATGAGTCGGAACCGACTCCACGGCACATAAGCACTCCCACTCCCACATTGCTCCTTGGGAAAATTATTGGTTGTTGGTTGTGTTGTGATTCGGTTCTGACTTACAGCCACTCTGTATAGGGTTTCTGAGACTGTAAGTCTTTGCGGGAGCAGTAAGCCTCATCTGTCTCCTGAGGAGTGACTGGTGGATTCGAACTGCCGACCCGGCAGTCAGCAGCCCAGCTTGGGACCCCGCCCCTCCCAGGGACCCTTCCCTCAGAGCTGCAGCCTCCGAAAGCTCTGCTCTCCGTGTTGCTGTCCGAGTCCTAATGGCTTTACTGAGATGAAATGGAACGGCACTTGGTGATTTTTTTTTTAAAGTTATTGTCATGAAATAGACGTGGGAGGCTTCAAATAGTTTATGGAAAATTCCATGATCTTTTTGTTCTATTTTTTCCATAAACTTTTTGAATCCCCCTCACATATGGGGGGGGGAATCCTCCTCATCAGTTTTTTAGCGTACGATTCAGTGACATTCATTCCATCCACCAGGTTGAACTGCCGTCACCGCTATCCATTTCTGAGAGTTCTGCGTCACCCCAAATTTACTCAGCACCCCTTTAGCACTAACTCCCGTTTCTCCCCACAGGCCTGCTACCACTGGTAGCCTTTGGTCTCTTTGCAGGCAAACAGTTTGAATTTGTAACGTCACGTTCAGTTAAACGCTACTGTCATTCCTCCCAAGTCACTTTACGCGTATGTCCACGTACCCTGAGTTTCTGCGTTACTGTCGTCTTGGCTTTAACAAGTTACTGTGTCCAGAGTATGTGTCAGAAATGACCTTTGTCACCTGTTTTCCTGTGAAAGTTTACCAGCAATGTTCTTGTGACGTCTATACTGCTAGGGATGGTGAAGAAATGTAGATATTACTTATTAGAACTGATTTTCTTGGTTGATTTTTTTTTTTTTTTTTCCCTTTCCCCTTCAGGTACTTAGGAAATTTCGAGCACATGAAACTAACCTGCTTATTGCAACCAGTATTGTAGAAGAGGGTGTCGATATACCGAAATGCAACCTGGTAGTTCGTTTTGATTTGCCCACAGAATATCGATCCTATGTTCAATCTAAGGGAAGAGCAAGGGCCCCAATCTCCAATTACATCATGCTAGCAGATACGGACAAAATAAAGACTTTTGAAGAAGATCTGAAAACCTACAAAGCTATTGAAAAGGTAAGAGCCACCAACCAGCATGACATCTTTAGGTCATCATTGATTATGAGCGTAGAAATAGCCTTATCTGCACAGTCGTTTTAATGGGGAGCTCTCGCAGTGTGTACGTTATAAGGATGTAAGGAACGATTCCAGCAGTATTCTACAGTATTGGGAAGCTTACGATAAAGCAGCAGTGGAAATGGTCTTGTGCGTTAATAGAGACACTTGTGAGGGATAGAACTGTGCTGTTGGGGACAGTGAAGTGTTTGTGTTGAGTTGTGGAGTGAGCTGAGATTGCTGGCATAGTCTTCATATTCATGAAAGATATATCAGACACGTGTGTGTGTGCATAGTCCATGTTCACCCTGTACCGTGTGGGGCTGTCTCCATGTGATTAGATCCTGGGGGACATTCCTGTAGTAGCTGGCGTTGGGATACTGAGTTATATTTAGGAGAGAGAGATGTTTATGAAAAGAGCTTTCCCTGTAGAAACTGAAGCAGACAGATAAAGAAGGCCTTTTTTTCTCCTCCTCAGTTCTGTGTTTGAAATTTTCAGATCTTGAGAAACAAATGCTCCAAGTCAGTTGATGCTGGTGAGAGTGATGTTGAGCCCATTGTGGATGACGATGATGTTTTCCCACCGTATGTGTTAAGGGCCGATGACGGTGGTCCGAGAGTCACGATCAATACGGCCATTGGACACATCAATAGGTGTGGTATCAATCATTTGCCTGGACAGCCCACCTCAGCCTCTCAGTGTTGTATATTGTTCTTTTGTGATGTCATATTTTGATGAGAGAAGAAAAAGTAATCGCTGTTCGTCCCCTTCATTCTTTTTTGTTTGTTTTTAGTCAAAATGTAAAAACTGTTGCTTAGTAATAATTGTTGACAAGTCCTTGTTGACAGGTCTGACATAGTGAAGGCATGTTTATTCTGACTCAATTGAATTTAATTTGACAATGTGTATTCATTGTTTTCTAAATCCTGCAATGTGTTGTTTTGTGCTGTGTATGTCAGGGAATGCGGAATTTCCCGTTAGCATTCACGTAAGATTATGATAAATTAATTTGTGTTTATTGAGTTGATGTTAATATTTCTGAGAACTAAGAAAAGCATGGGAGCACAGTGGTTCCATGTGTTAAAGCGCTGGACTGCGAGCCACAAGGTCCATGGTTTGCGTCCGTCAACTGCTCCATTGGAGAAAGATGGGGCTGCTGTCCCCACAAAGGTTTAAAGCCTTGGAAACCCAGTACAGTGTTGTTATAAGTTGGAATTGACTCAATGGTACTTTACAACAACAACAACAACAAAGAAAAGCATATCTGGATTTTATGTTGGGCTACATTTTATTCTGAAATTAAAATAAAGGTCACAAACATATAAGATGTTCTCTCTAAACAGTTTCAGACTTTGAAAGTTAAGACTACTCCCAACTCCAAAGAAGTCCCATTAGTCACTCCCCTAGGGACGTCCACTCAGATGTCACAAGAATGTCCATAGTTGCTGGTTGGACCCATTTCTTACATCTCCCTGGTCTTCTGTAAGGAACCCTGGTGCTTCAGTGGTTAAGCGCTCAGCTGTTAACTGAAAGGTTGGAAGTTGAAACCCACCTGGCTCTCCTGGGACTGGCGGAAGGTCTGGGGCTCTGTTCCATGAAGAGATTATAACCTAGAAAGCTCCTGGGGCGGGTGGATCCGTCCCGTGGGATCGCTGTGAGTTGACATTGACCCCATGGCCTACAGCACTCAGAACTGTCTGTACCGACCCGAAACTGCTCTTCAGACTTCAAAGACCTGGACACTTTCCAACGTTGTCTGACGTTTTCTCACGATCAGACCCAGCTGAGGCCTTTCGGGCCAGCACATCACTGGTTCTTCTCAGTCCGCCTGACTGAGTGGCACATGGTGCCGATTTGCACACTTACTGGTGGTGGTGGCCACATTGATCACTACCTTCCCCTTTATAATGAACTATTCCATGGGGATACTATGAGACCCCGTTTCTCCCCTCAGTGTCAGCATCGTTGGCTGTTTCTTGTGTGTGCTGGCCTTCTGGTGGCTGCTGCACAAAGTCACCATGCTTCTCTGCATCACTAGTTAGCGTTCTGTAAGCAAGCGTTTTCACTCCATTTATTCATTATGGGAACTTGTTGATAAAGTGCCATCAAGTCGCATCCAACTGATAGCGAGCCTGTGTGGGGTTTCTGAGGAGCGGCTGCTGAATTTGAACTTCCGACCTTCTGGTCCAGTGCTTTATCCTGGGCTCCTGTTTTATTCAGTGGCTTGTAAAGCCTATCATTTATTATTTATTTTGGTGTTGAAATTGCTTAGATTTGACCACTGCAAGTCCATTCAGAGTCATTTCTGTGCCTTCATAGCATGTCCCCATTATTCTTGGAATACTTTTCTAATTTATATCACAATAAGGTGCCTTCCACTCGACTTAGACTTACTCTGCCCAGCCTTGGAATTGGCTAGTGTTCCATGGGCTCTGGTCCCTGGCCTGCCTGGCCCTGCATCCGGTGCCTTCCCTGCCCCTGACACTGGTCTTTTTCTGTTGCTGGGTTCAGCCTCAGTACTGGACTGTCCTCCCACCATCTGCTGGTGCCATTCTTGTGTAGGCCTTAGAGTTGCTGGCCAGTAAGATCATGACAGAGCAAACACTGACAAATGTTCTCTTAACAGATTCAAACTGTCCAGTATGCAGCTCTAGACACATGTGGCTGTTTAAATGTTTAACAGTAATTAAAATTGAAATAAGGCTTAAAGTTCTCTTCCTGAGTTTCCCTTTGCCATGTTTTAAGGGCCCACTTACCTTACTGTGGCAAAACGTGGCTGTCGTATTGGACGTATGCATCCAGAGAGGGCTGCTGGACAGCACTGGCCACCTCTGTGAAAGTTTGAAATAAATCAGAGTACAAGATCCAAGTATAAAGTCTAAGCCAGGACAGAGCAAAGAGACACACAAAACCAGACACACTGTAGATTCTGAATTTCAGTACACATCTCCCCACCTCTTTCTTAGATGAAGATTTAGCCTGAGAATTCTTTTTTTCTTCACAGATACTGTGCTAGATTACCAAGTGATCCGTTTACTCACCTGGCTCCTAAATGCAGAACCCAAGAGCTGCCTGATGAGACCTTTTTTTCAACTCTTTATCTGCCAATTAACTCACCTCTCCGCGCCTCCATTGTTGTAAGTTTACTTTAAACTATGTTGTTTAGGGAGTTTTTTCTTTTCAGCTTGTTTATGATTGTGCACGTCAGAGGTGAATTTGGTCTTCGAATCTCCATATGGTAATGGTGCCGTGGGTTCATTGTTGGTCTGCTAACAGAAAGGTTGGTGGTTCGAAACCACCAGCCACTCCACAGGAGAACGACAATCAGTCTGCTCCTGTCAAGATTTCTGACCACGGAAAGCCTAGACAGAGCAGTTCTCCTCCGTCTGTATGGAGCTTCTGTGGTCGGAATTGACTGGGAGGCACTGGGTTTGGTTTGATTTTTATGAAAATAGGTTGGTATTTCTTTTGTAGGAAACTAGATATCCAGATCTTCAGTGGGCTCTGTGATTTGTAGACTGTAGGTTTGGGCCAGGTGACCTGTCCTCCAGCTGTGGTCACACAGAGCACAGGGTTGGGCTGTTCTAGTCACCTGACTGCCTTTCTGCAGCCCTGCCCTTGGTCCAGGTATTTCTGTGATGCATGAAAAGCTGTTCAGTACTTCTCATGTGGCAAGGGCAGCCTCACATATCTTGATTTTGTTTTGTTTAAACCTATTTGTAAATTAGTGAATGTAAGCTACTTTAAAACTCTTAACCCACCAGCGCTGTACTGTCTTAGTGATGGCTCATTTTGTTTTTCACTGGGCAGGAGTTTTAAAGTTGCACATTTCCAATGTGGAGATTAGGATGTGTAGAAACTGGGTGGTTTGTTCTGGGAATTCAGACTCTGAAGATACAGGGGCAGAGAACTCATGGTTGATTGTTTCAGTGCTGCTCCGCTGACCCTGCAGCAGTGTGCGTACTCATTTCCAGGGCTTCCTTTCCCTTCCAGGGCCCTCCTATGAGCTGTGTGCGATTGGCCGAAAAAGTTGTAGCTCTGATCTGCTGTGAAAAGCTGCACAAAATAGGTGAGTCTGTTCGAGAAGCAGCAGCAAACCATAACAAATGAAATTCTACAGTGTCTCCTGGAGGGCACCTTCAGCCAAGTAACAGACCGGGAGCACTCTGCTTCCGGAGACAGCCAACAGTTCACCGTCTACCCAGAAGCAAAGACGACAAGCCAGGCTGGCCAGGGAAGCGAGATTAACGGAAAAGGGCGAGAGGAAGCTGGGTAGAAGTTAAGAGCTGGGAAGCTAACTTATTATGCCAACTTTCACCTTGTTGTTGTCAGGTGCCATCGAGTCGG